ATGTGGAGCAGGCTCCAGGCTCTGAGCCATCAGCACAGAGCCCGACGCGGGGCAGGAACTCACAAAATGTGAGATCGTGACCTGAGCCAAAGTCGGACGTTCAACCCACGGAGCCACCCAGGCCCCCCTCCATTAAGTGATTGCCCCCTCCCCCACCGCTGGCACCCACAATCTCCTTCCTGTCTCTATGAATATACTCCTCTAGAAACCTCGTATAAATGGAGCCCTGCATCACGTAACTTTTTCAGATCGCCTTCTTTTCGTCAGACAAAATGCCTTTGTGATTCACTCAAGGCCCTGTGCGTATTCAGCTCATTCCTTCGTATTACCGAGCAGTATTCCCTTGTGTGGAATTAATCCATACTTTATTTTTATGTGTTTTTATTCACTCAGTCCAGAATTTGTTTTTCCGGTCACCCACTGAAGAGCCCTTGGGTTGTTCCCAGCTTTTGGTCTCTTACCAAGAAAGCTTCTACGAACGCTCCTGTTCAGCTTTTGTGCGAACCCAAGAGTTTCTTTCTCTTGGGTGAACCCTCAGGGGTGAGATTGCCGGGTCGTATAGTATTCGCTTAACTTTCTAAGAAACCACTAAACTGTTTTCCTTGCCAGCACTTGGTATCGTCAGCCTTTTTTATTTCAGCCATTCTAATGGCCTGTGGTAGTCGTATCTCTTTGGGGCTTTTGGGCAATTCCCCAGTGGCTAATGGTGCCGAGCCGATTTCATTTCATAATTATGGTGTCATAAAGACATAGTCTGTAACTCTATATTTCTAAGACTTTTTTAAAAAGTAATCTCCAGGGGCGCCTGGGTGGCTCAGTTGGTTAAGCGTCCGACTTCAGCTCAGGTCACGATCTCGCCGTCCGTGAGTTCGAGCCCCGCGTCGGGCTCTGGGCTGATGGCTCGGAGCCTGGAGGCTGCTTCCGATTCTGTGTCTCCCTCTCTCTCTGCCCCTCCCCCGTTCATGCTCTGTCTCTCTCTGTCTCAAAAATAAATAAATGTTAAAAAGTAATCTCCGCACTCAACGTGGGGCTCGAATTCAGGACCCCAAGATCAAGAATCACATGTTCCACCCAATGAGCCAGCCGGGTGTCCCATACTCCTGAGACCTTTTTTTTTTCTTTTCTTTTGATGTTGTTGTCATTTGTGAGTTTTCTGCTGCTTGGCATTTATTTGTGGGACTATTCTAGAACATATTTGTCCCCGGATTTGGATCCGTGTACCTTCCAGATTCCTGCCATTGAGAACATTTGTGTGTACATCTCCCAGTTACACGAGGCAAGAGTTTCCTAGGCCAGGTGCCTCAGAGTAGGTTTGCTGGGCATTCCAGATACCCAAAGGGGGCCTGTCAGCACTGTTTTTGCTAACCCACCGCACAGGTAAGACAGACGAAGTTCAGGGTGCATTCTGAGATAGCAGGGGCGGACATGTGTGGTGGTGACACCAGATCGTGCCTGAACAGGGTAAATGTCACCTTGGGTTGGAGCTACCAAAACGATTAGAAATCTATTTCCCGGGGCCGGGGGACGGATGTAGGAGACACCCACGTTTCTGGGACCAGGGAACACATGCCTTACGAAAGAAAGGTGTGATTGGAACCGGTGATAAGTCCAGAGATATGTTAGGGGGAGAGTTTGCAGAGCAAAGCGTGCCCGTTAATAAAGATAGGAGGGCAGAGGGCGTGAAATCCGCAGTGTTATCTCAACAATAAAGGCTCGCGTTCTGTATCGAGTGGTGACCGCCACGTGATTAGCGGGAAACTTGTCTCCCCCAGGACAGGGACGCCCATTTGTTTTATTCAAGCTGCGAGTGTGGACCGGGAGGGGAAGGGGCAACGCGAGAAAAGATTTGAACTCTTCTTGGGGCCGTCCCCCAATCCACACCCCCGAAATACCCTGTAGCGAAGCAAGAGAACCCGTTACCGTTAGACGTGGCGGCGGCGTGAATGAATGCAGCGTGCTGTGCGAAGGAAGTCGGTCACGGAAGCGTGCAGGCGGCACAGCTCCCTTTCCACCAAGCTCTAGAACACGCAGAAGTAATCTAGGGGGATAGAAACCAGAAGCGAGGGCGTCCGTAGGGGAGTCGTGGGCTGCGTGCGGCCAGCTCGTCCTGTCTCGTGCACGCTTCCTGGTAGCCGAAAACTGGCCACGGTGGAAATGTCTACACCACAGGGGAGGGCAAAGGCCACGCATGACAAATCAGCCCCCTCCCCCCATCTTATCTGTCTATCTCTCATTTCAAAAACCCACTGTTGATCCACTGCTGGTAGGGGGCGAGGCGGACTGCCCGCAAAGGGCACCGAGGAAACTTTCCGGAGGGACAGAAACCCTCACTCCGCCTGGTTTCCGGGCATGCCCACGTGGGTACGTGCAAGGGTACAAGCTCGAGGGCTTGAGCGTTAGCAAACTGTGCATTTGTCATGTGAAAGTCAGGGCTCAATAAACAAGACTGTCTGTGCCCATAGAGCCTAAAATAAAATGATGGGGAGCTCACGTTGCAGCACACAAGGGAGGTAGAAACGCCCGGAGCTGAGGAAGGCTGTGGAAATTTTTGAAGCCGGATAAGCATTCTCCCCAACTTGGAGGGGGCTGGGTGGGAGCAGCCGGAGGAAAAGGTAAGAAGGCTCAGGTTGGGGTAGCGAAGGAGCCGAGATACAGAGCAGTTTTAATCAGGGGCGACTATAAGGTTACATTGCATTTTAGATCGGTTGTTACATTTTGTAATCACGTGGATATATATTACGTATCTATTTTGTAAACACTGTATTTTTGTACCTATCTGGTAAAGAGCCCTGCAAACCAACTATCAAAATATGATTGAAGGGTAGCCGGAAAAAAGTGGGCAGAACTGAGCCAGGGTGACCAGGGGACCCTGGAAGAGGGTGTCGCCTGAGCCCTTCCCTCTCTGTTTCTTTGCACGTGGTCCCCAAAGGCACACCCACCATTACAAGTACGCCGGGGCACAGGGACGTGACATAAAGAAATGCAATGTGGAGAGTGTTTTATGATGTCAACCTTTTTTCCCATTTAAATGACTGTCTTTTGGGGCGCCTGGGTGGCTCAGTTGGATAAGCCTCCAGCTTCAGC